AGGAAGGGACAGTATAAAGGATTCTTTTAGCAAAAGGAAACATTTTCAGAATGTAGACTCATGAGATGCCGTTTCTGGAAGTGCAAAACTCTGCACTCCCAGCAGGACATATCCTTCCTTGTAACCCATCCCTTTGCTGGCAGAGGCAGAGAAGAGGATTTAAGCCTCACAGCTCTGTGCCAAATCCTCCTCCTCATCCCTGAAATCCCTGTGTGAGCAAGCTGGCAGTTGTTGTTCAGATGAGATCAGTGGTGTCTGCTGCAAGCTGAGGCAGTGGAGGACTCTCAGCAGCAGGGAAGCCCTTGCTGCCTGCGTGGTTCTCCCAGGCACTGGCAATTACTGGAATTGTCTCTCCTTGTTCCCTCCGCACGTTATTCCTACAGAGCAAGGACCTGCAGCAGCAGCAGGTGGGGTGGCTGCAATCCTCTGTGCAGACCAAGAGAGACAAGTGAGCAGCACCAGTAGTGACTTTACAGCTAGATAAATACACATACACGTGTGTGACTTCAGCAGGGCAGGCCACAGGCAGGTTTAGAGCACAGCAAAGCAAAAACCAGCAGCTGTGTGCCCTTTGTCTCAGTAGAGAGGGGTTGGTGTAGCAGAGAGCACTTTACCTCCAAATGCTTTCTGTCACTGTCTAGCAGGGTTTAAAAGACTTGAAAGACTTTCCAGGAGCGTATCAAATTCCAGAGGTGAATCCAGATCTTGTGTGGAAAAGCAGGATCACTTGTGCTACCTCCGGTCCGTCTCCCATAGGCATCAAAATAAAAGCTATCACTTTAAATTCTCTGATTTAAAGCAACACCACAGTCTCTCAGCACCCAAAATGGTACCAAAGTTGTTTTAAAAACCAAAGTCTACCTATGAAAAAGTTCAGGGGGAAAATAAAAAAAAATCTCATCCTCTTCCAAAACACCCCCTACAGAAACTTCCTGAATCCCAATTCCTTCAAAAGGTCAGACATCAGTGCTCTTTATATTTACTCAAAACAAGTGCATCAATTACTTCTTCATTTTAATTGACCTGCCAGAAGGTATCTTCTCAATGAGAACCTAATTAGGGGAAGGAGCCTGTGGAAGCCATGTATTAGATCCACCTGGGACAAACTGAAATGAACATCCTCCCCCTCTCATTACACTTCAATGTAGCCTTCACTTCTTTTCAAAAAATCTTTTACTGCTTTCTATCAGTTAGCACCTGTTACCTTCCTCTGCAGATCAAATACGTGTTTTGAGCGCGTGCATTTCATGTCACATAATCAACACAAATTTAATAAGCTAAAGGAGCTTCTCTGTCCTACCTCAGGGAGGAGGCAGGGTCCAAGCAGAGCCAGCTCCTGCAGCCAGGAGCAGGCACATGGCGTGGTCAAAACGCAGCTCTGTTCCTCCACATCCCAAAGATTTTAGTATCCATTATGGCTTCTGTCAGCTTATGCTAAGAAGGCAACAAAGAAAGCAATGTGCATGCAGGTGTGTTTAATATAAATGACCATCTGCAAAAGCATCATTTCCTCAGTTTTTGTGAGATATTGCTAGTACTGGGCTCTTGAAAAACCTGCAGCAATAGAATTTTTTGTATGAATTTGGGTTTGTGCTCCCCCCTCCCCCGCACCTCCCTCCTTAAGTTATATGAAAGTTTTCTACTCGTCATGAGGATTTATTGATTATTATAGGTCTGTGGGATAATTAAATATGCAGATTTGGCAGCTGTAGTAGAGAGTATTATTTTAGAAATGCTAACAAAATGTTAAATCCAAGGAATCCCACTCCTAATACTCTGTAGGGTCATGAATTAGTGCAGGGGATGTAAATATAAATGACACCATTTAAAATTCAGATACATGACTATAGCTACTGAGTTTATCTCTCACTTATCCCTTAGTTACTAAGGGTAGAAACTCCCCCCCACTTACATCCATTATGCTCTTTATTTTATACTTGAGTAAAACCATATATATGTCATTCATGGGCTTTTAGTTCACGAGGACTTTTGTGCTAGAATTAAATGGAAATACATAATTCTGCAAGTATCCCCAACTTTTCTGTGAAGTAAATTCTTGCTATCCCTCCCCTCCCGATGCTAACTGTCCAGCTATGAAACAGGGGGCTGTCTGCCCTCCGAGTGAGATTTTATTGCTAAAATAGAGTAAAAACTGTTTTAAAACAAAGAACACACATATTTATAGTAAAACTCAAGTTTGTTTTACAATTAGAGAAAAGTCACATGGTCCCCCAAAAAACCCCGTTTTTTATATATATATATATATATATGTATTTCGAAAATATATTTAAAAACATAAAAACTCTAGTTAAACATATATTATGTTAATCAGTACACTTAAATATAGCTTAATTATATTTACAATATGACGCAATTGCTTTTAAATTTTAATGCCGATTTCAATATTTTCCCAAAAAACCATAAAATTATATAAATATACAATAAATATTTATGTTACACAAGATGAATAATACAGAACAAGGCCACAGATATGAACTTACAGTTGCAAGAGTCTTTAACACAGCACTAGGCCTGCTGACATGCATGATATACTTCTGTCACAAACAGACCAGAGCAAGAGTTTTAATGAAGTGATACGAAGGAAAACCAACCCTCCCCTCTCTGTCTGTGTTAATTAGAACTGCCCAGCCTGTGGATGTGTAAGGTCAGGCAGGGCAGGGCCATGGGACTGCAGGTTGATTGGATTAATTAACCTCATATCAATAAGCAGAGAGTTGGTATGTTATGGGGAATATCAGTCTGGGTGTAGTTACTGCACACAGTTCTCAGGGTTCCCAGCTCCATCCCTTAATCCCTCACCAGCTACATGGGCTGTCCTTTACCCCTCTGGACCTACCATCCCACTGTGCTAATTCTGCCACACCTGCACCACCTTTACTGGGCCAGGTGAGGGTTTATAAGTAAAGGGTGTAGCCATAGTTAACTTTGGGAAGTAAGGAACTTTATTTCTAGCATGATTTATGTAAACACTTCTCTTTTGGAAATTCAGTTTCTTTGAACTAGTAGTTATTTTATTCCTGTATCTGAATTAGACTACTGTCAGATCCTAGCTCTTTTTTTCCCAGTCTAGATGAGTGATCTGTTTGTTATTCACATATCAGCATCATCCTTTCCTTTAAAGCAACCAACCCTTATTTTGAGAGAAGCCAACATTACAGCACTTCTCTGCTGCAGATTAAGAGTATTGCTGAGAATAGCTCCTGAGTCACCTTGGGTTTACTAAATGTGAATTACAATACACAAACAGGTACTGGCCCCAGGGGAATGAAATGGTCTAGTGGAAGATGTCCTTGCCTGTAATATAAATGATCTTTAAGGCCCCTTCCGACACAAAACATTCTTTGATTCTGATTTAATTTGCATAAAGAATATCTTAGATGAAATTTTGAAAATTTCAGTAAGGTTTTGGTTTGGTTTTGGTTTGGTTTTTTTTTTCCTGTGTGGGAAACCCCCATCAGCAATTGATGGGGAAGGCTGAAGTTTGAAGTTCAGGTGGGTCACACAACCCTCTCCTCTCACTCAGTCTCGTGTGCACATGGCCAGTGCAACCAGCACTTCGACAGCCAGTTATCCTCAGGAAGGGGCTGCTCTTCTACCCAAAGTAGGAGCAATCACTGATGTGGAAGTGTGTTAGCTTCCAGCATGGGTTTCTATCAGTGATCACATAAAATCAGTGTTAAATACGCTCTTCAAAGAGCATCACCGGGGCCAACATATTTCCGTAAGCTTTGCCCAGTCAAAGTTTTAATGAACACAGATTCTAGGGCATTCAGAAGCAGATTATATTTCGCAGTATTTTCCTACTTGTTCAGCTATTTTTTTTTATCTACAGGAATTACAAATATAGCATCAGCCTTCAGTGAGCTTACTAACAAGCTATTTCTGTTCTCAGCCCACTGTAGCCATTGCAAGTGCTATGCACAGCTCCCAGCCTTACAACCCTCCTTTTTAGCAATATTCTGTCAGGAGAGGGGGGAACACAGAGCTAAACACATCTCTCAGAAACTAAGCAAGTTAAGCCAACTCCTCCAGCACTTGCTCTTCATTTACTTCAGGAGTGGTTTTTTAGTGCCAATATCTGTTTCATAAAATAAGTCTGACAGCAGAGGTAGAGCCACACAAACACGATGCTAGTTGTTTTCTGCTAGAAGTAGCACTCCTTTCTGTCTCATTCCCAGGTGCCCACCAGCTCTGCAGGCCTGGGGCTGCTGGCATGCTCTGGAGGGAAAGGGCATCCGTGTACATGGCCAAGCTCTTGCTCTCTAACACAATGCACAGGACCACACTCAGTAATGACTGCAACTGGAGCAGCCCCAGTCAACCCAAATCACTGTTATTTGTTCCCAAACTGGCTGAGCTATAAAGTGCCACAACCAACCTGATTTCAGATCCCCCGTCATCTTTTCTAGGCCCTTTTTCTAGTGACACTCTCACCGTGCTTCACCAAGACATTTCATCCAAGCACAGTCTTTTATTATATGAAAATAATTGCTCTGAACACTATAGAATATTCTCTATATGACAAGCTCCAGTTCTGTGGTAAGTGAAATACTTAAAGATCACAATCAATGTCCCTCCAGAGGGAGAAAAGGGGGAAAAAAATTTCTCAAACACAAGCTAACATGGTATAAGCAAATGCATGTCTCAAAATACTGAAAATTGAAAAAGAAAAGCAAAACAAAAAACCCCCAACAACAACAAACCACCCCTCCCTCCCCCCAAAACCAAAAAAGCATGTTGCCATACAGTTAAATAAGTGTTGTCTTTAAGCCTGAAGTTCAACAATGTGAAGTGGAACATCACCATTCTTTTTCAGTTGCCTCTTTTTATTATTTTTTGTCAGTAGTCGGACTGCTATCGCAAACACCTTCACAACATACAAAAACCAATTTTTTTTTTTTCTAATCCAGAATAAGGTAATGATTTTTTTTCTTTTTCAATCTGATGGGAGTTCAAAAGTAAAAGAGAAACAGTAAAACTATGACAACAGCACCTTGACATTGTTTTAATTTCAACGCTATCAGAAGTTAGAAGCAGTAAACATATATACTAACAGACTAAAGATACTTACTGTCTAAAATGTAAACAGAATGTTTTGGTTCAATTTATTTTTCTGAAAGAGGACAGTTTATCATTAATTCACAATTGAAGCAGCATGCAATTTTATTCTTTTTTTTTTTAAAAATTTTTTTATATTTTCAATTCTTGGCAACGGCGACAAACCACAATGTTATGGAGGAATGTAATGCAGACTTTTTTGTTTGCTTGATTTTCCTTTTTTTTTTTTTTGTTTTTTTTTTTTGTTTGTTTGTTTAAACTTGTGCGCAAATGACTATTGTTCCCCTTCAGGTCATGGATATGTTCAATAAATAGATTGTGTAACCACTGTACTGTATAAACTTCAGTCATACATGCAGTCCATAAAATTATTTTTTTACCGAATAATTTACCCTGTTATGTATATATACAAATAGATAATTTCGTCTCAATATAATCTATACAACACGAATCCACTATCTTCCCCTTTTAATGGTTAATGTACATACACAAGAAGTGTCTATCCTTATAAAGCGCCAGCCAACTCTCTTTTTATTATCCATGGTGAGAGCTCTCACGTAAGACTGGGTAGTTCGGCACTGAGAGTTCCAGTGCCTCTTGTCTATGCCCCTGCAGCCCTCCTTTGTGTACCCCTTAGGGTTGCATTTGGTCTCATAGAAGTATTGCTTCAGCTGGCCTTTGGGTACTGGAACTTTTTCCAGGACTGTGACGGTTGCCCCGGACATGTCCACTGCAGTCTTTTTCTCTGCTGCCGTCACCCACTCACTCGTGCTGTCACACACGCTCAGTTCCCCGCGGCGAGCTGGATCGGAGTGGCGCCGGACCCTCATGGACATGTTTGCAGCATCCAAGTAGTTTTTGTACTCCTCGAGCAGAAAGAGCAGCGGGGGTTCCAAAGGCACTTGACTGCTTAGCATGACTCGGGATGTATACAAGTCTGCATCCTTGTTTCCCTCACTGGGCTGGATGTCCTGGTCCTCGTCTAGAAGCTCCTCTATGACATGTTCAAAAGTATCTGCCAACGATGTCAGTCCTCTTGAACCAGCACTGGGCCCATTTATGCTCTCAAGGGTCCCGTGGGTCCGAAGACCTGGGTAAGCCAAGCTGCCTTGTCCTCTTAGACTAGCTTCTTTCATTGGGGCAGCTTTCATGCAAGTGAAGTATGAGATAACCATAGTAAAGAAAAGGATGGTCATCACTCTTCTCACTTGGTGGAACTGTTAAAACCAAGAAAAATAAATTAACTTACAAGGTTTGGAGGAATAAAATTCACCCAAGTAGACACAAAACTATGCATTTTCTACAGAGATATTCTGCATGCAGTTGCAACTCTTTACCAGTGATAAAACATACTCTTGTAAAAGAGTGTTCTTTGATTTAGTTTCAGAAAAAGTATATGCTGCAGCACAGGCAACATTGATCCCAGCAACTCAGTTCTTATATGCTAAAACCTCTCTGCAGCAAGTATTAGATTAGATAATATGCAGACTCCTCATTTATTGACCAATTACACCTATTTCAAGTAATGGCAAAAGCAGCACTGCTATTTAGCAATGTAACATTTCAGCAATAAAAGACAGCTTCACAGCTGCAGTAGGCAAGACTTCCAATTCAAGCAAATGTAAATACTTGATTTTGAGGACTTCTCTATAGAAGAAAATAGCTCATCATTCTGCCCACAAAAAAAAACCAAACACAGAGTAGCACCAGGATAAACTGCATTCGTGTTTTGAAAGCAATCTCCGAAACACAGGAAGAAGACATTTTTCTGAGGTCTCAGCAGGTCAATTTCTCATGTAAATGTAGAAGTACCTAAATACAGAACAATAAAATGGCCTGGAACAGTGCACTGAACTGCAGCTGGACAGGTTGCGCGCATCACGTGAACAGCACGGAAAGGGCACGCAGGATTACAGAGCTGGTAACAGCTATACTGAAGTGACAGGAACAAAACCACTGTTCTGTACTTTTCCAGAGCCCCACACCACCTCTTCTCAGGTGGGCAGAGCATTTATTTACACCTAGTTAGAGTGTCAGGTGGGCAGAGTGTTTATTTACACCTAGGTAGAATCCAGATGCCATCATTAAAGCCAGCATAACCAGCCCTATTGCCATACTGAAACACAAAACTGAGCAGTTTTGCCTGTTTCTCTCGCATTCTGCCCCAAAACCTGGTACATGTTAAGGGTCATGCTTTGATGTTTATATGTGTTCTCATCGCTGTCCTCACTGAGAGGTGGGGTAGCACCAGAAAGGTGTGCTGGTAAGGAAATTCCTCACCAGGCTTGGAATCAGCACAGCTCACTCCTATCAGGACACCCAACTGCTTGAAGCTGGTATGAACTCCTTCCCAAGGGCTTTTTTGAGCCTCCTCAGGGTAAAAATTGTTTCCTCCTCAAGTGCAGAGTAGATACTTTAAGTCCTGTTAAAAGGACCGCCCCCAAATCCTGCAGTGACAGAGATCTATGCCTTCCGTCTGATCCCAAGTACTACTACAACATCTATCATATCCAGTTGTCATTTTTTTTCACCTTCTGATCTTTCTTCTCACCAGTTCTGTTTGCTAGAAAGCAATGGCATTGTTCACATTTTTGGAAAAGCAGCTAATGCATGTTTCAGAGCTTTTGAAGTTCATTTGGAAGTACCTCATACTTGGCAACACTCATTGGAGTAAATGCTATTTCTGTTTGCCAACAGGGTGCTATGTAAAAAGACTTACTTTATCTCCAGCAAATATGCTGTGGGAAATCAGTACTCTTATGACTTAACATGGAAAGGCAATTTATCATAAAACATACAAATAAAGTGAAATGTGCACTAGAAAGGCAATGCCTAAAATGTAGGTCTTAAAATACCTAATGAAGGCAGGGTGGGAAGTGTTCAGGATTATGTCCATGCCCCCCTCATCTCCAGGCCCCCACTAAACAAGATTTTGGCCAAGAATCCTTTGTAACCCAGCACAACTCTTCCTTCATCCCTCCATCTCTCTTCCTGTTTAATAGTGTTGTTGCGGCATAGATTTATTAAGATTAAACAAACCTGACATCTGTGACTCACAGGAACATAGTGTTTGCTCTAACCATGCAGAACATTCATATTTTGCAGATTTTTTCATGTTGGGATTTTCAAAACATTCTACAGGGAGTGTCAGATTTCTTCCTCAAAGGGAAGGAAAGGAGGCATTACAGAGGTGATTTACAAAGGAAGGAAAAAGATTGATAGTCTTCCTTTATCAAATGAGGAACAACTCTTATTTTCATTCCTGAAAATGAGTGGCTCAGCTAACACACAAATGCAGAGCCAGTGGAACAAAACATAATATTTATACACTCTCTCTTCAGAGAATTGTTTAATATAAAACCTAAAAAGAAAAGAACCCCAAACACTCACATCACACTTCGTGCCCACCAGAGCAATGAACAGAAAACAGATCTTCTGGCTCCTACCCAAGTTCCTGTTATTTTTATCAAAGTAGTGCCCAGAGGTCCTGGCCAGTTCTTGACTCTGTAGGACAGTCTCTCTGAGCACGTAGCCCCCCAGTGGGCCTTCCACAGCAAAAGAGAGAGGGCACAAGGGGCACCAAGACAAGCACAGAACAGGGAGAAGCTCACACCCACCAGGTAAGCACACCAGCTGGAGTAGCTCGGTTGCTGTTTAAGTTAGACAGGTGAACAAAGGAGAGAAGAATCCCTGGTCCAGGCCACATCACTGCCTCCTGTCACTGGGCTGTTTACCTTGCATGGATGTGAAAACAGAACAGTGGCTGCACAGCTTCACTCACATGGATGCTTTTCTTAAAAGGAAGACAATGGAGGACAGTGGTGCAGATTGACTTTGATAAGGCCTCAGCATCCTCTGCCCACAGCTGCTTGGTCACCAGATCTAACAGTACTTTATATCACATTCAATTTTCCTTAATCAATTATGCCTTCCATTTAGCAAGAAAACTGCTGTCAAGTGTGATCAATTCACATCCTATCTGATGATGCAACCACCACTATTATCTGGGATAGCAAGAAATTGCGTACAACTAGACTGAAAACCAACAATTTTTAGACAAGCATTACCCACATAACATACTGATGATACACAAAAAACTCGTATCTGCTTAAAGGCCAATCCTCTTCCTCCCATTTAAAACTCTAGAAGAGCATGTTGAAGTAAGCTTTAGCAGCACAGATACACGGAATATTGCCAGCAAGCTACCACAGAACGAACATCTACTACTCTGCAAATGAGTCCCAGACTAAGCTGAACTCCAGAAGCAGGATGTAAAACCATTCTTCTCTCTGTCTTACCTTGACTCAAGCACTGTACAGAGTCCTTATCTTTGGCAGCAAAATTATGTCAAGTGATTTAATACAAGGGTGTAATATTTTATCACCTGGAAAATACCTTTATTTTAGAGACCAGAGCAATTTGTGTTAGCACACAACTAGTTGCTAAAAATCAACTAGTTTAACATGTTATAGAAGAATCAGATTATTTCACTTCATGGGTAGAATCACACAACCTTTCAGCTATTGTTGAACTCACACATGAATGTATGTGTGTTGGTTTCACCTGGCTTGATTTTTTGGTGAAGAGGAAAGAAGGCAGCCGTGGAAGTGATTATTTTTCTTTGTGCAGTAGCTGAGATTCTTCTGCAAGGCGTGGTGAGGACTATAATGTAACAAACAACTTCCCTGTAATTCATGAAGTGCATGGGGGGATGCAGAGGTCCACTCACAGCCCGTGAGAAAAGATGCTCATGCTGGAGCACATGGATGCTGAAAAGCTGTAATCTAGTGGACAACTCAAACAGAGGGAAAGAAGATAAAGAGAACACTAAAATGACTCACACCATGTATTTTGGGAAGACTATTCTGCCCATGGAAGGGACTCACGTTGCAGCAGGTTGGGTGGGACTGCAACTCATGAAAGTTAGAACCATGTTGGAAAAGCTCACAGAGAACTGCCTCCTGTGGGGAGGACCCCATGACATAACAGAAGACTTCCCTCCCTAAGCTAACTGAAGAAAGATTTTTAGAAGTGCTAAACTGACTAAACCCCCCACATTTAGACTCCCTGTACTGTTGGTGGGAAGGAAAGAAGGGCTGGGGGGGAGGAGGGGGGGCAGGGAGAGAAAGGTGTTGTAATGGTTTTAGTTCTCATTATCCTCTTTTAGTTCTGTTAATATTTTTATTTTAATTTTAATACCTTTTAAGTTTTGACCCTATTTTGCCCTTAAAGTGTTTCTTCCCAATCCTTACCTCAAGTCATGAGCCCCTTTGGGTTTTCTTTCCCCCTCCATTACTTAACTACAGCAGAGAAGAATGGGTGAAGAGTTTTTTCATGGGTGCCTGGCATTTAGCCAGCATCAAACCACAACAGGTTCACCTCCTTAATGAGGCAGGACTAATATCCCAATGCTGCACCAATAAGATCATTGGAAACACTTTGGAGGGCAGCTTCCAGTCCTTTTCCTCTCTGTTCCCCAACCACCAAACCTTCATTATATTGCAAAGATTAAAGATACTGCCTGTCCTGTTACAGTAAGTGTCTTGTAAATCCCAAACATTAACTATTGTCTATATCCTTCTGATTATGAGCCAGTCAGTGTGCCACCCTGTGTGGAAGGGGAAGTGAGCTGGGAACATGGGACAAAACAATTTTCCTATTTTCCTAGCCTGCTACTACTGAGCAAGGCACTGATCCTTTCTGTGTTGGGCATATCCACTGCTAGGAGGTCTTGCATGGAGATGCCCCAGCATTTCTGTGTACATCCATGCCTGAGGCTGTGCTGGTAGACTGAGCAACTAGCTCCCATGGAGGTCACCAGTGCTGACTTTCTCTTACCTGGAGCAACCTGGCTGATAATGCATGTTCTGCATCAATACAACTGAATGCCAGACAAACAGTGTGGCCATGACTGCTTGTAGTAAGATGTGCACCCAGAATCATACAATAAAAAAACTACTGATGTTACAACATCAGTCTGTAATCCTACAATACACTTATTTTCCCTCCCTTCTCAGGTGCAGGAGGTTCAGGTCTCTACTTCACACCTTCTAGGAACAACAAGTAAAGGCTGCAACCCTTTTGCACTCCTGTTCAGCCACATCTCTGACATAAAAGATCAAAGACATCTCTAGCAATTGCTAGAGTCTCTAGTCCAATTGCTGTCCCATACACTGTACACCCACTAACTTGTATGACATAGATATACACTAGCTTC